GTTTTTAAATTTCTAAAGCAATTTTTGTAGAGGGGTCTTGCTATGTTAGCTGGGCTTGTCTGAAACTCCTGGCCTCCAAGTAATCCTTCCAAGGAATTGGAATTACAGCCTGACCCTTCTTTCTCTATTTTTATATCTTTACCAAGATCAGATTTCAATTTTTGGAATGTTTACCAACATAAACATAAAAGTGTCTATTAAAGAGGAAAGGCATGTTTTTTTTTTTTGCATTTTGATGTTTCTTACTGAGGATGAAGTATTGTTTACATTTATTGTTAAATTTGTACAGTGGTTCTTTGTGAATTATACATTTATATACACTATTTTTGCTTTGTTCTGAATGATTTTTTAACAAACTCAACTAACTTCATCATAGTAACCTCACAGTGCTCATGGAAGATCGGTTATTACCAGATCAGGAAACTGGAGGACAGCTCTGGGAGGTTAAGAAACTTGCCCCGGGTCACTTAGCTAGTAAGTGTTCCAGGCAGGGTTGATTGATAGATTGATCGAGAGACCGGGTGTCCCTGTTGCCCAGGGTGGAAGGCAACAGCCTCATCTAGCTCATAGTAACCTCAAACTCCTGGGCTCAAGTGAGCCTCCTGCCTCAACCTCCTGAGTAGCTGGGACTACAGGTGCATGTTAGTGCATCTAGCTAGTTTCACTATTTTTACTAGAGATGGGTCTCTCTTTTGCTTAGGCTGATCTCTAACTCCTGAGCACAAGCTGTCTTTCCTCTGTGGCCTCCCAGAGTGCTAGGATCCACAGGCATGAGCCCCCTTGTCCAGCCCCCAGCCAAGGTTTAAATCCAGTGTCCGTTGTGAACTCTTATGCTTCATATCTGTGTCTTCCTGAAGGCAATGAGAAAGTCAAGTTCTCAAGGGCTGTGTGAAACAAGTGCTTTCAGCTGCACATGGTGGTGGCATCTGTGGTCCTAGCAGTATACTCAGGAAGCTGAAGCAGGAGGATTTCTTGAGTCCAGGAGTTAGAGGCTGTAGTGAGCTGTGATCAAATCACTGCACTGCAGCTTGGGCAACAGTGGGACCCTGTCTCAAAAAAAAAAAAAAAAAGGTATTTATTTTTTGAGAATTTTTTGAGACAGAGTCTTTGTCACCCTTGGTGGAGTGCCATGATGTTATAACTCACAGCA